CTTTTACATTGTCATAGTCGATAGTTAAAGCTAACTCAAAGAAAACCTTGTATACACAAGAGGCCCAAATTATACAATGTGTCTTAAAAACTGAGGTCCTGAGTTATAAAAAAAAATTCACGCTGGGAGTTAATGAAATCTAAAATGTATGAAGTTTTATCATCCATTAAAATGATTCTCTTAAGAAACCATAAAGTTATGAAAGTACCTCCATGGAGTGAATTTTGAATTTGGGGAAATACAAATCTTATCTCCTAGAAATTCTAACAGAGCATCCAGACTGCTGATTCTTTATTTGAGTTCCTGGTCAAGTCCCTTAGTCCAGCAAGTATTTTCTTTCTGTGAGAGGTCATTCCAGGAAACCATCCATCGCCATATCTTATTTATTTAGTAAGGACTAGGGGGTGGCTTTGCCTCTTTCTTGATACCCTTTCTCCAATGAATCCTGAGTCAAAGAAGGCTTGATTGTTAGGACTGGGTCCTCTTCTCTGACTCTGTCCATTGCTGAGTTATTTGTTGTTGACTGGGTTGTTTTGAGACAAAGTGCCCTAGCTGTCCTGGAACTTGCAACAATTCTTGAGTGCTGGTATTATAAGCATGTGTCTCCAAGCATCCTGTTCAGTAGGTTTTTCAGTTAGTCACAAAACTCTGTGACTTAGTGGGTGCTTGCAACTAATATGTATCTCTGGGTTGGGATGAAGGACAAGCTAAGGGACTTCCCTGATCAATCAGTTTGTACTGCATCCCTGCCTTGGCCTTCAATGAGTCCTTTACCTGATCCCCTATAACTACTAGGTCAGGTCTTTGGATAACATCTAGAGTAGCAACAGGGCTTTGCATTAAGTCCTATTAGCTTCATTTCTCACACAACCTGGATTTGGGAGGTAATACTGGATGAAGGTGTAGAAGCCAGAGAGACTCTGGTCTATATTTATATTCTGCCATTTGACTCTTCTGTGTAACCTTAGGATTGTTAAATAATGCTCTTGGATCATGGTTTCATATGCCCAGGAAAGCAGTTCACATTTGAATGTTTGCTGATACTAAGTCCTTTGAGTCCTAGCACTTTCAAAGCCACAGGAATTTACTCAAGTTTTGGATAAATGATATTCATTTCAGGGTCATTGTTTTTCCCCAGGCATCTTGTCCTGTGTCTCTGCCTTCCACTTCCTTATAACATGAGAAGATATTCCCACTTCTATGAAGACAACAATAGCCCTATTAACTCCCGTGTACCAAGGTAAGGAGACTCTTTCTAGGGGTACAAAAATGTCTTGGAAGCTGGGGAAACAATGATTGTCATTTTTCACGCAATAAGCTATAAAAATGAAGCACGGTTAATTCAGACTGGAGCAAAATGAAATCAGATTAAATTGCAGAGGATGAAACAGCTTTTTCTTTTTCATAGGTCAAATGTGGTTTGACTTTGACAGCTCATGTTTCAGTCCCATGGTTCCATGGACCTTTTAATTCAGTGCTAGATGGTCACAAGTAAGTGAATTTAATACTTCTAAATTCCCATACTAAAGGATGTGAATGGACTTTTTGGTCAGTGGGAAAGGTGTTGGTTTGATGAGGTAATGAGTGTGAGAATACTTTATAGACCATTAACATGAGGTAAATGCAATATTCTTTTGAATTAATCATGGACCGTAAGTGAGGATCCTACATTGAATACATGTGCAACCTTGAAACTTTAAAAACATATTTCAACTACATTTAGTGCATTTCTAACATGAGGTTTCATAAAAGGAAAGTTTGTTCTTCATGTTATTTGTTGACTGCTCTAGGTATATGTTCTCCTGGAGCATATGCTTGGTCCTCCTTTATCTAGCAAAGGATATCTTTGAAGGCAAAAATTACAATATTTTAAATTTCTTTATGTGTGTGTGGGAGGGCTTGCGTGGAGGGCATGAATGTAGCATGGTGCATGTGTGGGGGTCAGAAGACATCTTGCAGGATAGCTCTTGTCTTCAACCACATGGGTTCTGGAGATGGAATTCAGCATGTCTGGCTCAGCGGCAAGTGCCTTTAGCAGCTGAGTGATCTCACTTGTCTTGAAGGCCAAAGTTATAGTAAGGGTGGAGCAGTGTTGAAGCTGCTGTGTCTGTGTGCTGTGGGAGGAGTGTGGCTGGGAGGAATAGCAATGCAGACACAGATGCAGAAGGAAGGAGCATTTAGGGTGGTGTGGTTCCACTGAATAGCATGTGTGCACATGCACACAGAGAGACAGACAGGGTGAGAGACATTGGTCCCATAAAAGTAAAGCATCCTTGCTTCCTTTCAGCTGTTAGTTCATTCCATGAAAATGGGGCCAAAGTTAGAAGAATTTTGTAGAATATGCTCTGTTCCTCCCTGAACCCCAGGGCTAATTCTAATCTATTCTCTCCCAACCATTCCCTCCCAGTATGGATGTGAAGAGATCCGATGGCAAGACAGTGTGTATTTCCCCTTTTTACCATGATCTGGGGCACACTGTTTATTCAATCCTCATAAAGTCAGGTTGTCAGGGCAATTGTTTCTATCTAGATTCTGGAGAAAGTGACTTAACCACCTTTTAGCCCACAGATGAGGATGCCATTCAACACGTCATTCTCCAAACAAAGATAATCCTTTTTTACTAGAAGCCATCTGACACCTGATGAGGTTCAGAGACCAATAACCAACTGCTCCTCTTGGCAGAAACATGAACTTTATAACCCAAGTTCTCCCACGTCTTACAGTCACATTCATTTACTTCTGTTCAGTGTGTACTTTCCTAACAAGATGAGGCTGCTTCATCTGTAGCAGCTTCTGAATAGTTTCCCCACAGGCTCTCCATCCTCTAAGCTGAAGAACCAAGTTATTAGTGGGGCAAAGAGGCTTTGCTAATGAGGCAGAAAGCTAGATTCAGTGGGGAAGGGAGAGCAACCAGAACTGGGTTGAGCCATGCACATTTATGGGGAATCATAAAATCATCAGCAGGGAGGGGCCTTGTCTGCACTAACTAGGGAGGATCATCTTGCTGTAGAATATCACTCCCAATGGCAGCTGTACCTTCCCTGCCAGAAGCAGCCCTTGGTGGGGAGACTGCTTTGTTTATTGCTTAATCTATCACTGTTGAGCTGCCTGCCTTGGGGAGGCTCAATTTAAGATAGATTGAAAGGTAGTATCTGTCAATTGAATAAACACAGATGGTTTTCCACAGCAAAAATTGATTTTTTTCCTTCACCAAAGACATAAGTGCTAAACGTGATTATCTTTGGAAGCCAGGCATGAAATGGCTCGGCTCCAGCCCCCGTGTGTTCTGCCCTGGAGAAGAAGGTACACTACATGGATCTCATGTTTCTCCTATGATTTTACGTTTTTTTAATTTTTTGTTGTTTTTTTGTTTTGTTTTTTTAGACAGGGTTTCTCTGATTTTAGGTTTTTTATTTTAAAATAAAACTTAAATTTAGTTAGAGAAGAGATGGACCATTTAAGCCTTTCCTAATACGAAGGTCTAGTTCAACCCATTATTTAATTAACTCTATGTTTTATAAAGCTTAGGTCACCAGATGCTAAAAACTCCCTCCAACTCTTTCATTTACAAGTCACAAGGAAGTAACAAGATTTGCCTTAGGATGCATAGCAATACCCAGACCTTGATCTTCTCACTGTTTGTCTAGTGGCTAGTAAAGAGACACACTGTCTGTGCCCTGATGTTAACTGAAGGAGACAGGAAGCTGAATCCTGTTCCGGAAATGTCTCTAGGGGCAGGTGTATCAGAGATGTTAAAACTATTACCCCAAATTCCATATGCCAGAATTCTTGACATCCCAGAATGCTGTCTATGTTAGTAACTATTTAGCTTCTGAACCATTTATGCTCAAGGGTTTTGAAGGGCTAAGGCAAAAGAGTAAAGTTGTACCACAGTATTTCAAGATAACAGGTATGTGAGAGCTAAAGAAGAGTGGAGAGAAAGAGTTCCCTTTGAATTGTGAGAAGACTGAGCCACATGTTTTCTCACGTAGCTTTCAACTCTAATTCTAAAACAGTGCAAGCTCATGAACCTTTATTCATGTGAGTGATTTCAAGGAGTCCCTGGGTAGCAGAACAACCTGGCATCTTTCATCCTGCCCATGTACAGGGGAGCATGGAAGAGTGGGTGAGGAGTTCCCTAACTAAGGAGATGGGCCACACATGTGTTTTCAAGATAGACCTGGAGGAGATGAAGAGACTCAGAGAATCTTAGCAAGGGAAGGGACTTTGCTCTGTGTTCTCATTTTAAAAGGGAAAAAGGAGCCTATAGGTGGAAAAACTGATAGACAAACTCATATCGCTAGAGGTGAGGTTGGGATAGCAAGAAATCTTGTTTTTTGTTTTTACCTCCACTGTCTGTCTTGCTTTTCAAACAGTGCCATGTAATTAAGGACTATCAGAAAAGCTTGTATTTATAGTACATGAAATCCCAGAGAAAATGGGAACGAAGAGATTTTGTTCCAGCTGGTACAACTGTAAGCACAGATCCTTACACTATCTTGGTCCTAATGCCTAAAGCTCCACAGTCAGCCAGTACTTCCCTGCATCAACCGACAGAAAGCTTTTTATATGTGCTATGTGCTTGCTGTTTATTTCTCACCCAGGCAGAGAAAGCTTGAACCAAAATTTCCTTAGGATTTAAGGGATATACATTAGGAAACACTTGTACAATTTAGAGTCAAGTGAGTTTGCATATTCACAGTATGTTAGAATTGGCGCATATTTAAGTTCAGAAAAAGTCAAAGCAGATTTTCTCAAGTAAGTTGATCCAAACTTTAGAGTCCTCTCTATGCATTTAGAGAGAGATGGAGCTGCTGGTCCAGTCTTTTTCTGCATCTGGGTTATTTCATACAAATTCTTTTAAAATAGAAATGAATATGTACCTTTCTGGTTGCTTCAAAAATTTAAGCTTTTTATGACTTTTTAAATACATGTTCAGACATAAGGTCATGTTACTAAAATTATATTAATATTCTTCACACACTTTAGGGGAACTACACTTCCAATATAAACACAATTTTATTTATCTACAGCTATGGTCTTTCTCATATTGAAACTACTGCTTCACCATAGCAAGGACAATTAAACCTAAGTAAATACATTTGATTCAAAATATGCATACCAAGAGTAAACACCATCATTTATACATTTATACATAGTTGTTGCTTTGATAAAATGATCATTTTTTCTCACAAAAGGATTTCTCCGCCATGGCAGAATGACACTACAATGGCCCAAATTGGGTTAACCACAATCAGAACTTTTGTGAAATAAGAAGTCAGAGCATAAGCTGTTGTTCTATATCCATACATGGATCTATGTGTTTACTTGTATTTTGCCTTATATTGGGTGTTTCTCCCATGTCCTCAGCAACATTTTTTAAAAGTCAATATTTAGAGGTTTGTTTTATATTACACTGGCTTCCAATGTTATAAATGACGTCCATTCCTCACACATGGGACTCTTTTTTAGAGTTGGCTTCTCATTTTAGGAATGTAAATTAAAGTTGTCCCTTAGTTTACATATTATAGATGTTTCTGGAAAAAAGAGTCAAGCCGTGTTTTGAAAGCAATCAGCTTCTGTTTAAATAAAATCTTTCACAGAGTAGATATCCAACGCGTGGTTTCTCAGCCTTCTTTGTTCATACAATTTCTATGACTTAATTGACCATACTTGCATAGCAGGGCTTGGTGCTTTGAATAATAATTTCCAATTTGTTCCTTCTTTTGTAAAGGAAGATTTGCTCTCCACCAAAAGAAACCCTCCCAAACTGAGATGGAAAATGAAGCCAGCACTTTGAGATAACACTAGTGATTGACGCTTTTGCACATCTCTCCTACCCATCTGTATCATTCAGCCTCCTGAAGGGTCTTTGGAAAGTACAGAGATAACATCCAATTACAGGGCTCCTGGCCATCCATAAAACAAAACCCGGAGTCCCTTAGGAGGCAAGATTGAGAGGTTAGTCTAGACATACCCCTCATGACAGATGTTTCCATTGATGAGGCTGAAGGTGGCTGAGGGGTTGGTGCTTTTAAAGGAGGTCATGCAGGTGGTACTTCTCCCAGTGCTATGGGACCGGTTCATTAGGCCAGGCTGGCAGCAGAGGAGTTGAGTGTTGAACTGCTTCCTGAAGCTCTTGCTCAGCAGATAGAGGGCAAAAGGGTTCACGCAGGAGTTGGTGAAGGCCAGGAGGCGGGCACAGATGCTGGTGACAAAGTGGAGCATGGAGGTGTCCACCTCAGAGTAGTGGTAGGAGCGGTACAGGTAGATGATATGATTGGGGAGCCAACAGAAGGCAAAGAGTCCCACAAACACCAGTACTGTCTTGGCAAGCCGCTTCCGGGATTCGATCTGAGGAGAGAGAGAGAGAGAGAGAGAGAGAGAGAGAGAGAGAGAGAGAGAGAGAGAGAGAGAGAGAGAGAGAGAGAGAGAGAGAGAGAGAGAGAGAGAGAGAGAGAGAGAGAGAGAGAGAGAGAGAGAGAGAGAGAGAGAGAGAGAGAGAGAGAGAGAGAGAGAGAGAGAGAGAGCAGTGTTAGAGAAATGAAGACAAACATGGACAAGGAAATGGATGAGGGAGCAGAGACACAGAAAGAGTTCAATTGGAGATGAAGATTGTGTGTGTGTGTGTGTGTGTGTGAGAGAGAGAGAGAGAGAGAGAGAGAGAGAGAGAAACAGAGACAGAGACAGAGAGACAGAGAGACAGAGACAGACAGAGAGAGGGGGGAAGGAAAGAAACTGAATCAGAAACACAGATTGACAAGGCAGGAAGCAGAAACCCATGAGGTAAAATAGTTAGAACATGCTGCTGAGAACAGATCTTTAACAAAGTTGATTACATGCTTGAATGGATCGCACAATGAAATTCTAGTAAGTGCCCTCTTTCCCCTCCAGAGAGCAATGGGGCAGTTTATCAGCCATTCTACTTCATGCCTTTCTTTGCTCTACAGTTAATTATTTCTTATCCCCTCTGATGCTCAAAACAGCAGCCAGCTTTATTCTCCCTCATTGGCCAAGCTGAGATAAGTCTGTATTATTATTTTTTAATCTGTAGCTATTTCTGGATGACACTGTGAGGAAGGTGATTACACAAAACAGAGTGAACATCTCTTTTTGCACTTAACTCCCTTTGTGACTTCAAGGAGGGGCCTCTTTCTCATTAAACAATTTGAGGGTATAGTGGGTGTTTGCTTACTAAAAGGCCTTTTGAGTAGGCAGCCAGTTGTTCTGGCAACTGCCATTTTTCCTTGGTAGGAAAAGAACTTTGAAAGAGGAGCCCTCCAAAGGAATCAGCTATTCACTTGTGTGGAGTTGGGGTATTTTGGTATACCATTAAATATATCAAAGATCTGCATTTGGGCTAGGAAGCAAAAAGAAGTAATTGAGGCCAGAGAGATGGCTTGCAAAAGACCTGAATTCAGTCCCCAGCATCCACATGGTGGCTCACAACGATATATAAGTCTCCTTCAATGGGATTTGGTGCCTTCTTCTAACTTCCATGGATACCAGGCACATTCATAGTGCACATACATTGTAAGCAAACACTCATATACATACAATTAAAATACATAAATCTAAAAAATTAAAAATACTGCCAAAGAAAGGGAAGCCAGAGCCATTGGTTCCTACTTGTTGTCCCTCTAGGATAAAATTTCAGGAATTTGTGGGACATAGAGGGAGGAGTAACATATGGGATATCCTCCATGCTGGGACCTGTAGCTATTATACACACTTTCCAAAATGGAAGCTATTACTATTATAACAATGATAAGAAAATTGAGGCCTCAAGAGGGAAAATCAAATATGGAGTTGAGCCAGTCATTCTGCAAACCTTTCTTTTTTCATTGGTATGCACTATGTAGATAGAGATGGGTTTCATGAAGACATATGTGTTCAAGCATGTCATGTCATTTGACTTTGGTCACCCCTCTTAACCAGATTATCTCTTTTTCTTAGTCTCCTTTTCCTTCTCCCTCTGATTTATCTGTATAGTTACTCTATTCCTGGTCAAAGAGCATGATTGGAATTAAAAGAAGCATCTATAGAAAGCATTGGAGTTCCTGAAATTATTTTCTTTTTCAAGGTTCTGGGGGACCGAATCCAGAGCCTTGTGCATGTTAGGCAAGTGCCCCATCATGGGACTAACACAAGACCCTTAAAGAGGCATCACTCACTTCTTAGAATCTCAAAACCAAGTCATGTGGTCACTTACACAACCTATTTTCACTAAGATCCAAAATGAATGCAAGAGGCCAAGGGTCTAAGGAGGACAGTAAGCACCCACCTGCTTCTTGACGTGTATATTGCCTTCCACAGGAAGATTGTAGGCACTCTGAATCAGATTTCGGGCAATGAAGTAGTAGTAGACAGAGATGATTGACAGTGGGATAATGTAGAAAACCAGAAAGGAAGCCGTAGAGTGGATTTTAGGGTGCAGCTCATTAGAGTGTGGGTAGGGGGCACAACTAATGAAGGTTTGGTTGGTATCTTTCACATGGAAGGGATGGAGGTCAGAAAACACAGCCTCTGGGATGGCCAACAGCATAGAGACGATCCAGATCAAGGCAGCTTTGAGACAAATCTTCATCAGGGCATGTGATGCCTGGATATCCATTGGCCGGACGATGGCTTTGTACCTGGGGCAGCAAAAAGGGAATGGCTCTGTGTAAGTTGTTCAACACCATTATGGACGATACCACAGCCAGGACCAAAGCGAGGTAAGTTAGGCAGCTGAGGAGCAAAATTGAAGGAGGCACTCACCATTAAATTCATGAAAATGTTTACTCCAAATTCTCATGACCCAGAAAGTGAGTGCCTTCTGAAATTTGGCACCCTGAGCATGTCCCTTGCCACATTCTAGCTGGTCTATAATGGATGCCTTGAGAAATGCAGAAGTTCTGTTCTCTCTCTCTCTCTCTCTCTCTCTGTTTTAAGTTTAGAGGTTTAAATAATTTATGTACATTTTCCAACCTTCTTTGTTTAAATTATTATATAATACAATTACATCATTTTCTCTATTCTCTTTCTTCCCTTTAAAGCCTCCTCCCATGTAAGTTGCCTTTCTCTCTTTGAAAGTCAGTCTCTCTCTATTACACACACACACACACACACACCTAAATATATAATGCAATGTGCTCAGTCCATTTAGTTTAATTTGTATGTATATAATTTCTGACTGACCATTTGATATTGAATAACCAATTAGGTGAAGTCTTCCCTTGGGAAAACAATTTCTCTCCCCTCAGCATCCCTTAGATGCCTGGAATTGTTTGTGTAGGCAAGGGCTCCCACCAGATTTCCCCTTTAAAAATTATATATACTTATTTATTGTGTACAATATTATGTTTCAAAATATGTATACATTCTACAAGGCTTGAATTAATTAGCATAAGAATTATCTCACATAGTTATCTTGTTTTTGCTTCTATGAAACCAATTAAAATTGACTCTGATTTTCAAGCGTACAATACATTGTTAATAACTGTAGTCACTGTGCAGCACAATTCACTGAGTCTCTTGATTTTAAGAGGACTTCTCAGAAAAGCTGATGTTCCCTTCAGTTTTCATAATGAATTATAGAAATGAATAACAAAGGAAATTGCTACCTAAAGAGAGACACAGAGGCAAGAAGCTCATTTTTTTATTTCATGAAATCTTCATTTTGAATATTCACATCCATTTCCAGGAATCTGAAGTCATCGAATATTTTCAATATTTCTCTTCTTTCTTTCAAAGAATAGGGAATGAATAGACCATTGACAGTGGTGCACCTAGAAGGAGGCCTGTAATTAACAAACTGATCTTTGCTTCACTTTCTCATCCTCTTCTTTCTTCCCTATCTCCTTACTGTTTTGTGAGGTACCCATACTGCTGCTGCATTCAGTTAAGGACTCTGGGAAGCAGACTCAAGCCTGACATCAAGGGTACAAAGGTCTATTTGGCTGGATACCTGAGCTGAACCAGTTAATGAACTATTTGCTCAGGTACTGAAGAGTTTCTCTTTCTCTTAAACATCTAACCAGAAAACATAGTTAATGATTGATACTAAAAAGATTTTTGTTCTCAAAGAAGTGATCAGTGTTTTAACCCTGTAGAAGATAAACAGAATAGTTCCATCCATTTGCCTGTGAATTTCAAGATGCCATTGTTTTTTACTGCTGAATAGTACTCCATTGTGTATAGCATTCTGAGTGAGGTAACCCAGACACAGAAAGACAAACTTATGTACTCACTCATAAGTGGATGTTTGACATAGAGCAAAGGATAACCAGCCTACAATCCACAACTCTAGAGAAACTAGGAAACAAGGAGGACCCTAAGAGAGACAAACATGGAACTCCCCCCACCCAAGAAGGGGAAAGAGACAAGATCTCCTGAGTAAATTGGGAGCATAGGGGAGAGTGAGAGGGAGGTAGGAGAAAGAAGAGAAAGGGGAGGGGGAAGGGAACGTGAGGGATCAGGAAGGAGAGATTCATAGCTAAGCACTGAACTGAACTCCTGGCATCCATTTTTAGAGAGGGGGGAGTGAGCAAAGTGCTCAAGACCATACGGAGGAAACCCACAGAAACAGCTGACCTGAGCAAGTGGGAACTCATGAACCCCAGTCTGACAGCTGGGGAACATGCATGAGACCAAACTAGCCCCCGTGAATATGGGTGGAAGTTGTGGAGCTTGGGCAGTCCATGGGGCTGCTGGCAGTGGGATCAATATTTATTCCAAGTGCATGAATGGACTTTGGGAGCCATTCCCTATGGAGGGATACTCTCTCAGCCTAGATACATGGTGGAGGGCCTAGGCCCTACCCCAAATGATGTGACAGACTTTGATGATCCCCCATGGGAAGCCTCACCCTCCCTAAGGAGTGGATGGGAAGGGATGGGGAGGGATGGGAATATAGTGGGAGGAGTGGGAGGATGTGATGGAGAGGGAACTGGGATTGGTATGTAAAATAAGATTGTTTTAATTTAAATAAAAATTAACAAAAAACAGAGTAGATGGACTGAAAGAAAAAGAGAATGAAGCAGACATGAGGGGAAACAGAAACAATATGCTCCTAAATCATAGAGGGTCTTTGATTTCTGGTCTACGAGATATTTTTGAACATACAACCTTGTGTTATAATTGGAATATTCTCTCATTGCCCTTTCTCTTGAGTTACTTTAAGTGGCTTCCATTTTGTGGCCAAAAGAGCCTTATATGAAACAGTCAACTCCAACGGCCATATGAAGTTGCCACCATATTTATTCCCAGGATCATTTCCTGTCTTAGTTAGGGTTTCTATTGCTGTGAAAAAATAGCATGACCAAGGCAACTCTTATAAAAGAAACATTTAATTGGGGTGACTCACTTACAGTTTCAGAGTTTCATTATTGTCATGATGGGGAACATGGTGGCATGCAGGAAGATGCAATGCTGGAATAGTAGCTGGAGTAGTAGGCAATAGGAAGTTGACTGAGACACTGGAATGTATCCTGAACATACCTTGAAGCCCACCTCTACAATGACACACTTTTTCCAGCAAGGTCATATTCACTGTAACAAAACCATACCTCATAATAATGCCATTCACTATGAGATTATGGGGTGGGGGACAGTTACCTTCAAACTACCACTTTTCCCTTATGTCATTTCCAATACCTAAAAAGAATAAGCTGCCTCTTTGTATGCAAGGGATAGTTATTCAAATGCTTAAATCTATATTAGATCGTGGCCTCCCTCTTTCTATTCATGCTCAATCCCACAGTCTGAATACATCTGAATCCAGTCCTTCCAAATCCCAGCTTAAGTGTCATCTTGAAGATTTTGCAGACTAATTGATGCCTCCAACATTTCCATTCTTTCTCCCAACTTGTCTGAATTTTTGGATGAAGTTATCAGCTCTTCTTATTTTATACTTTCTATGCATTGTTTTTAGTTAATTAATTATTTGTGGTCCTGGGGATTGAACAAAAGACCTTGCTTATGTAAGCTAGGTAAGCCCTCTACATATATATTCATTTTGAGACAGTCCTTATAAATTGCCTGGATTTGTCTTGAACATACTCTATAGTGAAGGTAAGCCTCCAACTTGCAATTCTATCGCATCTGCCTCCTGAGTGGGGCTATATCACCTGACCCAACATTAACTTATTATTTTCTAGGTTTTTATGGGTATTTTCTAAGTGACTTTTTAATCAGCTTCTTTGGGTCTGAAGATTCTGTCTTCTCTCCATTTCTTTCTATAGCATGAAAAATGCCCCCACTTCCCTTGTTCTACATATGTTTAAATAGGAACTCAGCAAACACTTGCTATTGGTTTTCAATCTATAATTTGCAGGAGAGTCTCTCATTCCCAGGTTCTCATAGGTGAGAGAGATGGGCTTCACTATTACACACTTAGTAATAATCATTCTCCTGTAGATGGACAAATTCACTCTGCTGATACCAGGCTCAAGATAATTTATTTCCCACTTCTAAAACCATCTGTGCAGCCGGGCGGTGGTGGCGCACACCTTTAATACCAGCATTCGGGAGGCAGAGGCAGGTGGATCTCTGTGAATTCGAGGCCAGGCTGGACCGACAGCCTCCAAAACAATACAGAGAAACCCTGTCTCCTAAAACCAAAAAAAAGAAAGAAAGAAAGAAAGAAAGAAAGAAAAACCATCTGTGCTTCATTTTCCTCGTGTCAACATTGGAAAGGGTGAAGAACGTTCTTCACAAAATTAATGTTCCAAAGACTCAAACAAATAGGCTCCTGTGTCCAAGATTAGAAACCTTTGTCTACAGAAAGACTTGACTTTTACTCAGATGATAGTCTTTTCATTATTTTACTCAAATAGTTCAGCCCTTGTTTGTCTATAGTTATCTACTGTAGTCAGTAGAAATTGTTGAACATCAACCCTTTAAAACTTCCAGTACAATTCAAATGTTCACTATACAGAGAAGACTGGTCTAGAAGAAAACAAAATGAGAGAAATAGTCTCAGAGGTAACTGGTATGTTGCCTGAATTTAAATTAGAACCCTACAGGTAATCTTTGACAAAACTATAAAACCATGGATTTATTTTCATTCAAGAATAGCACCTACAATCCCCCTTGAAGAAATCTGAGGCTGTTATTAGCTGATTGTAAGATACCTATAATCCAGAGCACAGAGAAGTGGAATCTTTGAAAACATTTTTTTCATATGATATATTTTGGTCATGCATTTTCTTCCCCAAACTCCACCCAGATCCTCCTCATGCCCCCATCCCTCTGAGTTATTTCTCAGCATACAGCTTAGTAATCCTTGTAGCTATTCCAACTATTCTATTTTAAACATGTGACATATTGTTGTCATCCTTTTCCAATTTTTCTCTAGGTTATTATCCCCAGTGCTCTTTTTCATCCCATCTTAATATACTCTAGTATCTTCTGGCTTGTAACACAGACTGTGATCAAAGCAAAATCCCCAGGGAAATGGATGGATTGAGAAAAAAGAAAAAGACATAAAGGAAAGAAATTGGAGAATAATAGAGAAGAAAGCAGGAAGTAGGAGATGTTAGGTAAATGGAGATGACAGAAGGAATGAGTAGAAGAATGGACTAAATATTAGTGTGACTCTTTAATACAATTCTGTTGTTGTTGTGTCGTACCCTCACCAATGTATTCACCTGCA